TCTCCTCCATCGTTCCAGCTGGTGCTCGGCGCCTGTATGGTCACGCCACCGTAGGACGGGATCGCAGCCATTGGCATTCCCACAGGCGTCGAAGCTGGCGCCGGTAGCACCACCCTGGGAGCCATCGAACCTTGGTACCCGAGCGTCGGCGTACTAACCGGTCGAGTCTGATCGACAAAGGCGTTCCCTGTGGACGCCGGCTCTGGATGTGACACAGGCCTCGCCCCTGCAGGTCGTGGCGTTCTTGTCGGCGTTCCAGCCGAGCCATACAGCTTCTAGAGTACCCGACCAAACGTGTCGACCAACATCTCTTGTAACGCAGAGTCCGACGTCGGTGTTCCGGCCCTCCTTGTCGGCGTCTCCGTCGCCCGCGCTGGTGTTCCTCCTTGTCTCCCGGGCGTGTCACTCTTCGGAAATGTCGTTCCAGACACACCATGGCGTTCCACCACACGCGGAGAAGGGTACCTCGTTGTTCCTCTCGTGTCTATCGCCGCACCGGATGGCGTTACTGTCGGTACCTCGCCTCGCGTCTCACTCGCAAGAGGTAGCGACGGCCTCGACGCATCGAAGGAGAACGCGTCTCCTTGCCGAGCTCTCGGAGTCGACATCGCGGCGTTCGCGGTCTCACCAGCCGTCGTCCTCGCCGGAGTCGTCTCTTCGCTCGGCGCTGGTTTGCGTGCCAGCCGCGCGAGGAACTTGTTGAACATCGTTCGGCCCCGGGGCGTGTCCAACACCGATTCGGCCATCCATCTCGCTCTTGGAGACAGAGGTTCTGACACGAGCGTCCCATCTCCGTCCCTTCGAGCCTCGAGACCCTCGATCCAGGGTTCAGTTCTTCTCGGCGTTCCTCGTTCCGAACCCTCGTTCGAACCGCCCCAAGTCGGAGTCCTTTCACGCGCGGCACCCTCGACGGATCCTCCTGCGTGCTCTTCATCTTCGTCTTCGCGGATCTCAGCAGGAGGTGGCGTCTCCCTCTCAAGCGGGGGAACAAACCCACTGAGTCCCTCACCCGCTTCCTCACCTAGTCCCTCTCCGGACCACCCATTAGAGCTCATGTCTCGCTCTCGCTACCCTT